CCCCCCCCCCCCCCCCCCCAACACTTGTTGTTTAACTAGCCTTATTGATGCTACACTTGTCGCAACGAGAATAAGGACTTACAACAGCTCTTTCCTTAATCTTGTTGGTGTTGATGAACCACTGTTTACTGGCCCGGATGATGACGGGACGTTTAGTCCGCCAATCGTACGGGTAGCTGTGCTGATAGGGAGACTGATGGATAACACTCTCCTTCAGTAACTCCATCACTGTCAAAAGTAAAATCAACAACATCAAATCTCAATCTAACAGGTCACTTATGTTCAGAGAAAAGTTCTGGTCCTGAAATTCTAGATAAAAAAAAACCAGGATTGTGACTGAATGATTATATCCTAAACTACCTGATTTGTTATAATCTAAAAAACAATCACCCTGGTACATCATCCCAGTATACTGCCAACATTCATTCTGCACCATGCGAGTGGTTTGAGGGGGATGGTAGTACATGAAGTTGATCCTTATGAACCAAAAAGTGATAGCATATTATCAACAAGGCTGAGTATTACAAGCAACACCTAGACCTGACCTCCAGACAAAATTCAGCGTCAAAAATGAAAAAAGGGTCATAACTCTGTATATAATACGGCATAAGACTCCATTATAGCATGCAACAGTCTTCTATCCAAAGAAGTAGACCCATACAATTTCTGATGTAGTACAGTTTAACAGAATATATAAGGAAAGGACTAGAAACACTTGTGACAGTGACACACAGATGAAAAACAGATTGATGAACAGAGTGCACTTATAGTACAGAGTGAGGACATCACTAGCGATCACACTAGTATAGAATATCTTACCTGCACTGTCAGCATCCTTTCCCACCACTTTCCCCTGCAGTGTGGGACCAGCCTCTTCAGTGTACACACCGTCTTCATCCACAATACTTCTCTGAATAAATCAAAATGGATGTACTGCTCATAAAACTTCATTAATGTCAATAATGTACAGATATAAATGTATTTCCATCATGTGTCAACATGTTGTAAAATATCCTTAAAAGCCTGTTGGCATGATGATGGTGATGCTAGTATTGAAAATATTTGAGCAAAATTTAAAACAAGTTAATTCCAACTATTGGCACCTTTCTTCCAAAAGAGTATTGACAGACAGATAAAAGAAATATCGGGTTTTATAACTGTTCCTTCCTTACTATCTTGATATCGTTGTTAATGGCAACTTTAAAGTCATCATGGCCATGACAAGGGGCAGTGTGCACAAAGCCAGTCCCTTTTCCTGATACAACGTGATTGGCTGGAAGGAATGGCAGGACCTCTCTGGTCAGGGGGTGATTATACTCAGCTCCCTTGAGCAAACTTCCTAAAAAAACAATACAACAGACTTTTTCTTAAAAGAATCCTCCTTTCATACCTGTCGATGACACCTGCAGAATAACAAAAATATGGAGAAAAGAGGAGACTGTTCGTTTTGATTCAAGATTTAAGTTTTTCTAGATAATAGGGACATACTGTATATTGGGATCTTTTTGTTGCAGTAAAACTTTCGCCCTTTTCTCCCTCCCTTATGAGAGCGAATTTATCATTACAGGGACTATTAGTACCCAACATACAATGTATAGGAATTACATGTGAAGGGTGAAACAAACACTAGGCGAAGACGGAATTTATAGGCAAAGCGTGAATATTTGACTGGGGCAGAAGTTTCCCTGTATACCGTAGTACAATCATAAGCCAGACTACCCAACTAACCTTTGACCTCGTCTATCACTGTCAGTGATTTACTTAACAGGTTAACAAATTTCTCCACAAATACTTTCTCACAAATGAACACATCCTCATTGCTACGATCCTCCAGAACACAGTACCTGAAGCAGAAAGGAAAACAACTTTTATAATCACTCCAGAAAGACATGATTTAATAAACTCACTAATACATACTCTTAATTATTATTTCATGGCACTTTCTTGACTATTGATTATTTTTTCAAATGCATTGTTTATTAAGTACTTTTATTGTTTTCTGAGATGTCTCGGAGAGAGTAATAATATTATGTCGAAGATTCATTAGCAATTTCTGCAAAGTGAGTCCATGAGACAAATATAATCGGCAGCATGTGAAACTATTATACATATACTCACGTCAAATTGTTACTGTAACAAATTGCTTGATTGACAGGTAATGTCCACGGAGTTGTCGTCCATATCACAGCATATACATTCTTGTCTGTCACTGGCAATAAAATAGTAAGTTATCCTAGAAATGGAGGTAGTTTTGATTTCATGATAATACTTATGTAATGTAATGAATAAATAGGATGACACTTATTCTATCACTGTCTGATCACTGCAACAACATCACAAAGATGTATACATTGACCTTCACTTAGAGCTATTCCAGATGTGAATATGGGTGGGTGGGGGTGGGGGATGGCTAGAGAGGCACTTAATATTGATTATGATTTTAATGTATTATGGGAAATGGGTTTTAAAATATTCCTAAACCTCAGTACCTCTATATTGGACCCAAGGAAAAACGTGTGGTGGGGGTCACGATAAGTAAAACAAGTATGTCTTCCCCAGTAGCAGTTACTAAATTTTCATGGGTATTAATTTTTTGAAATTTTTCTTCAAATACTTTTCTTTTTTAGGATCAATGAGTTAACTAAAGCAATATTAACAACCCTTCAAAGTGCCTGATGGCAAATGTAAACACCATAAGTTACGTAACATAAAACCTTATTTAATCTCACAAAGTCAAAAACATTTGGTTGTCAAATAAAACATGTAATTAAGAGTTATAAAACTGTTCCATGTACCTTACCTCTGTGAGTATTGAGAGAGGTTAGAGATGATGGGATAATGGGAAACTTGAGGTATACTGCTTGACTGACATGACACGGGTCATACTCCAGCTCAGCCTCGGCTAGAGCAGTTCTGTCAGATAAAAAAAAATAAAAAATTATATATCCTTAACCACTTGCTTTATATTTGAACAATGAACATATTTTTTAAACAAAATTAACCTAACAAAAGGGTAACTATTTCACAAAGTAACTAGAGAGTCAGTTTAAACAACACAGTAACAAGAGAGTCAGTTAAAAACAGAGTAATAAAACAAAAAAGACAATTCTTATTTTAAAAAATACTCACCTGAATAAAGCATGGATTTAAAGCCTTCTTGAGATACATAAGCAAAGTCAGTTTGGTAAATGTAAGTGAAAAAGCAAGGCAGTAATTATCCATAAAACAATAATGTTGTAACCAAGCCATGCAGCTACTGAGCTGAAAAATATGTCTCATCATAACAAGAGGCCCATGGGCCTTAACGGTCACCTGAGTCCTACAGTATTTATTTTTGTTGTTGAAATATGAAGTGGAGATAATTATGTCAATCATCCCTACCTATTTGAGTAAAAAATAGTTAAGCATAACGTTAAGTTAAGTTTGTCATGACCATGAGTCGATCATTCCTAGACCGAGTTTCAATTAAATCAGCCCAGTAGAACTTGACTTTTAAGTTTGAAATAGCTTTTCAAAATGGTGGTCCATGGCGGCCGTATTGGATTTCTGATCGACCCGAAAAATAACAACACTTTGTCAGGACTATGAGTTGATCATTCACACAAAGTTTCAGTTAAAATAGCCTAGTAGAACTTGACTCTAAGTTTGAAATAGTTTTTCAAAATGGCGGCCGTAGCGTCCATATTTGATTTCTGATGGACTGGAAAATAACAACACTTGGTCAGGGAGATATCAGTAACATTCCCATGAAGTTTCAATGAAATCCCTTTGACAGTATTTCAGCTTAAGTTGAAAATGTAAAATATTAACGGATGTCGCAGGACGACGGATGAAGATGGAAAGCAATAGGTCACTTGAGCTAAAGCTAAGGTGACCTTAAAAAAGGACCAATGATTGGGATCAATAGACTGCTATGTTACATACCTAGAAGATGGGGACCAATAGACTGCTATGTTACATAACTAGAAGATGGGGACTAATAGATTGCTTTGATACATACCCAGAAGATTGGGATCAATAGACTGCTATGATACATACCTAGAAGATGGGGACCAATAGACTGCTATGTTACATACCTAGAAGATGGGCACCCATAGACTACTATGTTACATACCTAGACGATTTGAACCATTAGACTTCTATGTTACATACCTAGAAGATGGGGACCAATAGACTGGCATGTTACATACCTAGAAGATGGGGACCAATAGACTGTTATGTTACATACCTAGACGATTTGAACCAATAGACTGCTATGTTACATACCTAGAAGATGGGGACCAATAGACTGGCATGAAATCCTCATACACCAAACCCTGTAAAAAGTAATGTTAACAGTCATTACAGCATTTCAAAAAATATATTCGTAAATTATTAAAATAAAATGTTCTACTTTTCAAATGCAAGAACCATATTGAAAGATAGAACAATTGACTTACTGTACAATACAAAAGATCAAAAACTACCATACCAGGTATGACTAGTAGAACTACATCCTACAGTTAATTAGTGGCTAATACATATGGATGGCGAGATGGCTTGTATAATCAGGAGTTTTTATTCTTGAAAATAAACTCATGCTACACAAAAATGACAATACATGTCAATGCCTAAAAACCATGTACCTTTAACCAGTAGTAAACTCTGTGCTACAGTTTTACCATCAAGCAAAATAGCAGCAGGTCAGAATTCTTTGTGATATTTCATTGTTTCAATCATTGTGTCAAATAGGTCCAACTCCCAGGCCTGACCATCCTGGTCAGTTGTGTGGTAACATGTCTCACCTTCTCATACAGTGTGTAGAATAGATCCAACTCTCTAGCCTGAAAGTCTCGGTCAGTTGTTTGGTAACAGGACTTCTTCCAGTCAGCCATGATACCCCAACTTTGGAATGCTTTACTCTGCACTGCTATGGATTCCTCAGCCACCTTTTTAGCTGAAATTTAAAATTTTCATGAGCAATATTTTCTTATATACATTCAATTCCATCTTACCTTTCTATCCAGTGCTTTTGAACACAGATTGTCCTTTTTATCCTTGCATGATGGAAAATTTATCATTACTTCAAATAGATAGGTCCAGGGCTTACTACATGTGATATTTCAAATGTAAATGGCAAAATCAACACTGGACCAATATGGAATTTTAACAATGAATGAGGTCTGTTTGATTCAACAAAAGTTTCCAAGTATAGAGTATCTAACGGTCATTTCAATAATAAAAATACACCTACTACAGAAATTGCTAACCTTTTTTCCGAATTTCCAAAGGAGCCATTTTCTTATGAGTGCCATCTTTGCCTTTTAATGCTTTCAGTTCTATTGGTAGTCCATGACAATCCCAACCAGGTACATAATGTACTTTGTAGCCCTTCAGCAGCTTGTACCTATTGGTGATGTCCTTCAGAATCTATTGTTTGTAAATAAAAGTTATAATTTTTACAGAACATACTTTACACAAATACATGTTATATTGCCTTTATGACCTATTGTAATTTGTATACAAAAACATACTATATCTATGGGTATGGCTAATAGTAGGTACTATTTTAATGATTAACTTTACTAGTTTTAAAATTTCCAAATTCACATGTACATCTCATCTAGAGGTGTAAGCTTCACTGATCTTATGCATTGTCAATTTGCTTTATATCATGTCTCAAAATATTCATTCGATATAAATTCACAATTTGTTTTGTACTTGTGCAATAAGTAAGATTAATTCCGTCTTTGCGTATTGCAGAGTTATCTTCTCTTGAGAGCAGGTATTGATTGTTACGTCATTGGTTCGTGTGAGTAAATTACGTCGTTTTCTCAAAAATTGATGACGTTACTCTCAGAAACAAATGACGTAACAATCAATACCTGCTCTCAAGAGAAGATAACTCTGCAATACGCAAGGACGGAATACACTCAACGAAGTCAATGCAGAAGATAGTGACCATGTGCGTACAACCTTCAATTTTTATGCTCATGTAGTGGATAAAATACCACTATTTGTGAATATTTTCAACACTTGATAATGGTTATAATAAAATGCAGTCAAAAACCTTGTTATATTGCCACCATTTGTCAAGATAATTTTTTGCATTATAATGGGGTTTGGTGATAAATTAAGGAAAACATATAAAAAAAATCTGAAGGAAAAAATGAAAAAGGGACCTTGAAATATGTTGGCAGAAAAGGAGGTAGCAAATGAAAAAATGAAAAAGGGATCTTGAAATATGTTGGCAGAAAAGGAGGTAGCAAATGAAATGCTGGGCATTTTATTGAACTGTTATCTGCACTTGACATTCAGGTATAGTGCACACAAACAAAAACTCACTGNACGACGACGGACGAAAACGGATAGCAATAGGTCACTTGAGCTAAAGCTCAGGTGCCCTAAAAAGTCAGATTTGTCAGATTTGCTGAATATATTTTATTTAGATACTACATAAGTTATTCATTATATGCTGGATTTATGTACCAGGTATATATTGTCCCACTGTTTTCATCACAATGTACAAGACAAATATCTTTAACTCAATAATTACATGTATATCATACTGACAAACAACAAGCAGCATTATCTCCCCTGAATATAAAATACTCAACAAACAAGACTTTTCAATGTTTCAGAGAAAGTTGGAATACATTTTCATTCTGAGCCTTGATGAGATAGAAATCTTTACCAGGTATTTGTAAAACTCTTTTTATACTAACCTTATTCAAAGCATGGCCAACATGAGGTTTTCCATTTGCATAAGGTGGACCATCATGCAGGACAAACTCCTTTTCCCTATCTTGGGCTCTCTGCCATTCATACAGCTTATTAAAACCACATACCTGCAACATATAAAAATACTGATTTGTTGAACCTGCAACACAGAAAAATACATGAGTCAAACTGTATACACTGTATATATATGTACTGTATGAATGTATGTCTCCAGCACTGAATTTAGTTTTTGATTGAGAAAACATTGCATACCTTTCATAGGTTTTATCAAATATTGATACTTTCTTGTAGAAATATACACACAATAATTGATAACCCTATGCTCTGTTAGCCTAAGATTACACCTTGACACAGTTTTTACAAAACAGTACAGAATCTTTCACAATTATGGTTCTTTCCTGGAAATAGAATGATTCAATCTAAATTTGGCTCATTTGGTTTAATTCAATATTCTACTGGAGGAAGCTTTTCACTTTACTACTAATGGTGGTGACTTTTGTCTACATATGCTGTCAGCTGGAGAACAGGGCCGCGTTCATTTATCGCATCCAAACTGTTGTTCATTTATGAAATAAGGTTGGACCTAGAAATATGATGCGAACATAGACAAAACTTTTCAAGAGTGCAAAGTGCATAAACATTTGCAAGTCTGCCAGAATTTGCAACCGAAAATGTTCCAAGTTGCCAAAGCATGGTAAGCTTTACTGTTTTATGCAGGGTCATTCTTCATCCACAAATATATGATTTTTGTATCGCCTATCTGCTTTTATACAATAACTGTTTTATGTTTTATACATAATTGAGGTCCCTGAAGCAATGTATCCCCTTGTGATGGTTAAGTTCCGCTCAGATGACATCGTTGTAAGTTAACTAGTAGTTTATGGTGAAGTTTAGTTAAGCTTCAGCAAGATTCAACTCACTGACGAATGGTTACAGGTCTATCAAAATTGATCATCATAAGTTAGACATTCCACCACCTAAGTTTATCATTTAATTTGGTCACTGGAAATCAACTTTGCATAGAATGTGCTTAATTATCAGCTGTTTGTCATTTAGAAATTCGTTTCAATATCATTTCGAATTTGACATGTGCTTCATAAACAGAAAGTGAAAGTAGATATTGTGTCGGCAAGGGTAAAACTAAAACGCTATATATGTCAATTTACCTGTAAATTGTTAATTTTGATTTATTTCTTATCATGGTCACATATAAAAAAAATCTATAAACAACCTCTTGAATGAATTTTTCTCTCTTTACAGCCTTCCCGCTTTTAGAGGTTGCATCAAGATCACTTTTCGGGAGATTGAGCGTCTCTGAATACTTTTTACTGCTTGATTTACTTTTAAATCGAATGCAATTAGTAGTCGGAAATCTTTTCCCGTGTAGTCTCAATGAACTTAGCATTCTGAAACACTTTCTCTGCCAGGTGCTTGGAATATCTGCTTCCCCATCAAAAAGTTTCCATGGGCAATGACATGGACGCAGCCATTTTGCTTTCCCGCACTGAATAACATTTTGATTCATTTAGAAAGCATGTTTATATTTTACAACCGTTCTAGAATAAGAAATACAGTCGGCATTGACACATTTTGTTATGTTTTCCCAATCACTATTCAGATAAAAATTGTATTACAAAAAATAATTAATGCAAGGTCAAGGTCACTCTTGCCGATCATGTGATTAAATGTTTTGACTGAAAGGAGCTGTCAGACGAATGTCAGACGAGACAACTAGACCTCTACCATGCAGACGATGATAAACTGATTGCGGTCAGTTGATCGCTATGACAAGACAGGGACATTTTCCTTTAATATTCCCAGATGCCGTGTTTCAAAATATCCAAAATGGAATCGCCAAACGAATCACAAACCATGATTATGTCAAATCAGGAAGAATCACTCGGTCTGCCGATTCAATGGACGTTGATATTGATGCCTTTCCTACGTTGGAACCAGCCTTAACGCCCGTCACAGAATTATGGCTGACAATTCTGTACGTCTCATTGTACGGCCTGCTGTTTTTCATGGTGTATTTTCAATTATGGATGATCTGGTACTACCGACATAAGAGACTGAGTTACCAAACTGTTTTTCTGTTTCTCTGTTTGATATGGACAGGGTTGAGAACCACCTTATTCTCATTCTACTTCAGTGACTGTATTTTAGTCAACAATCTCCCACTGCCCTTTACATGGTTGCTGTATTGTTTCCCAGTTTGTTTACAGTTCACTACGCTGTGTCTCCTGGTGTTATTTTTTGCACAGGTAAGACTAAGAACACGGAAAAGAGCAAAATATACCATCTGATCAAGCCTGTTTGACCGTAGTAATAAGATAACATGCAGGTCCAGTACACTCTGCCGACTGATCATGAGCTATATAGCTGTAAAGACCTATAACAGCTCTATTGACCTATATCTGAAATAGGTCTTTTGAGCTATTTTCATGTGATTTTCTTTTTAAGGAAAACAAAGCAAAGTCGCTTTTAAAAGAATATGTTATCCTTCGGTTGATAACACAAGACATTAAATATAAGCATTCTTTTTAAAAAATAATGATGTGAAAAAAATCGAAAACTTAACATTATGAAAAATGAAAATAAACATCTAAATGTACGCTTCTTGTAGTCAACATTACCATAAATCTTATAGTTTTATGCGACTTTGCTTTAATTTAATGAAAATTGAAATCTGAGAAAATATAGCTCAATACAGCTCTAATTTATAGGTGAATATAGCTATATAGGTCTTTATAGCTAAGACCTGACATGTGCTCTCAAAAAGAAAATATGTGATGCATATACAGTACTACTTGAGGCGTTTGGATTTTTCTTATGCTTATGTAATAGGGGGAGGTCCGGAGAGGGTTTGCATCTGTTGTCACTCCGTTAAATTTGTTTCGTGATCGTATAGTTTTTGGTAATGGTAACGAGTCGACAACTTTCCCTGCAGTCCATTCTAGACCTCGCCTCTTTCGTCGGGTTGATTCAATAACTCAACAAGGTGTTTCAAAATACAAGTAACTGTTTATTAACAAGACGAAATCATGAATATGAATAACAAGTTTAACAAATACAAAGCATAGCATTAGTGCCAAACAATGACAACTAATGTTAAGAAACCCAATCCCTATGTATGTAGAGTAATGGCCTATCCTACCTAACAGTACTACCAGTAGACTACGACCGCGTGCTCCTAGCTCCCTATAGATCTACAGCTAACCACCTGTGCATGTATCGATGCCTAAGCCCGAAGCCCCTGACTATCCCTACATACATGTACTGTAGTTCCTATAGCACTCTATTTATTCCAGGAACAAGGTTACAATAACCTCATGTAGTCCTAGCTACGATTGGTACTGTTAGCAGCACCTCGGCGCATGTTTTGCACTGTTAACAGCGCATGAGGCGGTAATGTTCTCCTCACCAGCAGAAGTGGGTCGGCTCACCGACCCTGTCAAGACCCTGATCCCCGCCCGGACTCACTGTTTTATACCCCCTGCTCCCCCCACCAAATAGCCTCGAAGATGAGTGACCAACTGTTAATCTCGAACCCAGCCTCACCATCTAAAAGCATGTGAGCGAGGAGCGGGAACCTATTCCTGTTATTACTATCACCCACTTCCGGCCGTCTCAGAAGTGTGAACACACAGATTTCAGCACCGGTATCGTAGCAGCTGATCGCCAGGAATCCTAGCCTAAACAATAAGCCCTACCCTAAATAAGGGTGAATAACACAGAAAGTAACAGATCTCTGTCTGTTAATCATAAACAATAATTATACTTAACAAAGTAATACAAATGTGAAAAGTAAACAACCTAACCTCCCACACTTACTCAAATAAAATGGTTTATAATTGGGGAACAGATTGTTCCACACTAAAACATAAATAATTCAGCCCCACCCCCAGATGATAAAGGTACTAGATTTGAGAAAGACTTTTATGAGTCCCAGACTGAGACAAGAATTAGAAATTTTGTAAGAGTCCCAAATTACATCATTTAATTAAAGATAGATAATGTGTCCCAGCCAAAAATATGTTGCAGTAAAACAGTATCGGGGTAAATAAAAGTGTTACAAAACAACATTAATCATGTCTAAAATGTAAGAGTTATAATGTAAGTATATCACAAAGTAACAGGTATTTGCCTAAATATACATAGTAGTTAAGAAGTGTCTGAAAAAACAGTAAGGAGTTCAATATTTTTTTATAGCCAAGTACAGGCTGCCTCCCCCAGAACAAAAAGTGTTTTATTTTCCCAAAATGAAAAAGAAAGTGTGGAATATCTTCTCAATTCAATAAAAATAGTACTATGTATTTTCCCAAATCACAAAAGAGCTGTAACTGGTAAATGTCACAAAACAAAAGCAGTTTTGTAATAAAGTAACAGTACATGCAGGTTATAAATATCTAAAAACAGCAGTAATGTTTAAGTCATAACACAATAATGATTATGTCACCTGCAGAAATGGAAGAGATATGTATTTGAACTATTCCTACCTATTTTATATTGTGTTGTTCCCTACTGTAGGCTATACTGTCATGTATAATAGTACTAACTAACTGAAATAGTTGCCATAGATTGTGCTTTGCATAGATCTTCAAATTGATGAACTGAGAAATTATACTTAAAAAATACAGTAACAAATCTGTTGTATCTAATGTAATGTATTTTCCCCATAAGAGATATATATGTCTTTATGTCTTACATTACATGCATCAATGTTCTTTCCAGGTCGTGTTTAAAGCCAAAGCCAAGTATGAACCTAGTCAGTATAAGTAAGTAGATTGTAACCAATTAAGTATCCACACATAACAAGTGTTTAAATCTATTGTTAGGTGATCAGCACCAGCTAGTAAAGGGAGGAATTTGTGTCAGTATGTTAGGCAAAAACTTACATTTGTGACTTGTTAATATTTGAACAATTACAGGGTACATGCATGTACTCATTAGGTATTTAGAAAATGTGCAACACTGGTGATGATGATTTATGTCCAGTCTTGTGAGTTATTTCTTGTTTATAACCTTTGGACTTTAGTGAGTATTACTGGAGAATTAGCTCACAGTAATAAATATAAATAATAGACTATCATTAGGTATTGACTGTTTTATTTCTTCCATAACATGGAAATAAAATAAAAAAATCACTGAAAATATAAAAATTAAACAGAAGACTTTCATGCCCAAGGGTGTTAGATGGAGAAATTCAAAGGGATCCAAGTCGTTTTAAAATTGGGTAAAACTGCAGGCTTACCTGTTGGGAATTTTATCCAACTTAGAAATGCAGGGGTTAGGGTTTTCATATCCTGCACTCCAATTGCAAGGCATATAATATTTTCATCTCATTCAATTTGCTAGAGTTAGGTCAGAAACCATGAAAAGGAGTTTTTACTGGCTACCATTTTGAAAATATGAACTTTTTCCCTGAGCTTTTTATACTGAATATAAAAATAAATTGGTAAGCAACATTAGCGTATACTCCTTTTCAACAAACCTTTGCACAAAGAATTTCATCCATTCTTTCTGCTTTACATTGTAAATACATTATTTTAGTTTTCAATTTCATCATGTCTGCATTCCCACATCACTGCATCAGAATATATTCAATTTTAAAATAAAATGTATTATGCCATTATTATTCTATTACGATGTCATTTATGGGGTGTAAGATAGCAATTTCCTTTACCTTTTTTCTTGTGCTGGATATAAATTACATTCTGATTTTATTAACAATTAAAACATTTCAGAAGACCTCTACGCATTGCCATTGCACTTGCTATCCTCATTTTCTTCATCACCAACCTGACGGCTGCCATTGTGGTGGACCACCAGTCTATAAAGTACCACTCTGTACCTATATCTGTGATAATAGTGAGAGTGTCAATCAATGACAGTTTATTTGTGATGTCTGCCACCGCCCTGTCTGTTTGTATCTACAAGATGAGTCGTATGGCCTCGGCACATGTAGTTCTAGAAGCAAAGGTATGTGATAGCATGCATTGTTCATGTTTCCTTGTAACCCAGACAGGCTTATCTGAGTAATCTCACACGTACCCAACTCTATGTGTATAATTTGTCTACCAGGGGATGGGCGTATACAGTAAGGTTAGCCAGTGATTTGTCTACCAGGGGATGGGTGTATACAGTAAGGTTAGCCAGTGATTGTCTACCAGGGGATGGGGGTATACAGTAAGGTTAGCCAGGGATTGTCTACCATGGGTGGGTGTATACAGAAATGATAGCAAATGTTTTTCTACCTTTGAAAGGCTTTACACTGTAAGGATATCCAATGATTGCGTATCTAAGGATGACTGTATACAGTTAGGATAGCCAGTGGTTGTCTACCAGGGGATGGGTGTATACAGTAAGGTTAGCCAGTGATTGTCCACCAGGGGATGGGCATATACAGTAAGGTTAGCCCCTGTGATTGTCTACCAGGGGATGGGGGTACACAGTAAGGTTAGCCAGTGGTTGTCTACCGGGGGATGGGTGTATACAGTCAGGTTAGCCAGTGATTGTCTCCCAGGGGATGGGTGTATACAGCAAGGTTAGCCAGTGATTTCTCTACCAGGGGATGGGTGTATACATTAAGGTTAGCCAGTGATTGTCTCCCAGGGGATGGGTGTATACATTAAGGTTAGCCAGTGATTGTCTACCAGGGGATTGGTGTATACAGTAAGGTTAGCCAGTGATTTGTCTACCAGGGAATGGGTGTATGCAGTAAGGTTAGCCAGTGGTTGTCTACCAGGGGATGGGTGTATACAGTAAGGTTAGCCAGTGATTTATCTACCAGGGGATGGGTGTATACAGTAAGGTTAGCCAGTGATTGTCTACCAGGGGTGGGTGTATACAGAAATGATAGCAAATGTTTTTCTACCTTTGAATGGCTTTACACTGTAAGGATATCCAATGATTGCGTATCTAAGGATGGCTGTATACAGTTAGGATAGCCAGTGGTTGTCTACCAGGGGATTGGTGTATACAGTAAGGTTAGCCAGTGATTGTCTACCAGGGGATGGGTGTAATACAGTAAGGTTAGCCAGTGATTGTCTACCAGGGGATGGGTGTAATACAGTAAGGTTAGCCAGTGATTGTCTACCAGGGGATGGGTGTAATACAGTAAGGTTAGCCAGTGATTGTCTACCAGGGGATGGGTGTAATACAGTAAGGTTAGCCAGTGATTGTCTACCAGGGGATGGGTGTAATACAGTAAGGTTAGCCAGTGATTGTCTACCAGGGGATGGGCGTATACAGTAAGGTTAGCCACTGTGATTGTCTACCAGGGGATGGGCGTATACAGTAAGGTTAGCCACTGTGATTGTCTACCAGGGGATGGGTGTAATACAGTAAGGTTAGCCAGTGATTGTCTACCAGGGGATGAGTGTATGCAGTAAGGTAAGCCAGTGATTGTCTACCAGGGGATGAGTGTATGCAGTAAGGTAAGCCAGTGATTGTCTACCAGTGGATGGGTGTATCATAAGCACTAGACATGATTTTTTTTTATTAAAATATAAAATATTTTCCTCTATTTGTATAACATGTTTTTTTGTGACATCAGTAAATAACACCAATTTCATTATTTCAATTATTTTTTTGAAGTACTGGAATAGGGACTTGTTAAACGCAAGTATATTATGATCACAGTTTTAGACAAGTGTTCTATTTTCAGGGAACAACACTGTGCCAGGCAATGGCCACCTCCATTGTGATAATTCTGTTGTTCACATCACGTGCTGTGTACAATATTATAGCCTTGCTGCCCTATACCAAGGAAAAGATGCCCTCGTTTGGTTACAACTGGGTCAATGTCTCGGATCAGGTCAGTCTGCTTCTGGGTTAAAGTTGACTGTAGTATAGAGTGTCTGGTCTTGCATTTCACCGATAGAAATGATCAAAACCAGTACATAAATATTTCTGTGGCCTATTGACTTTTGAAAGTGAAAATATCCAGTATTTTTGATCGGCTCACATTGATATTTTAACTGGAATTCCCCAGATGATGTCACTCCCTGTAAATAACTGAAATTCTTTTAATGATGATATCAGCAAGTACGATATCCTTTTTATCTCTTATTAAAATAAACATATGTGTCTTTGAATATATAAGTTTCTGCATCAGCTTATAGCTTTATTAAATACAATTTATTTTTCAGGCCGACATCATCGACCTTGACGGGGGTTATGCTTATGTATCGTTTGGAATTGTGCTGTTTGTTTGGGAGTTTCTGCCTACTCTCATCATTGTAGTGTTTTTCCGTGTCAAAAAACCTCCTGCAGATTCAGTAAGTAATATTTGTCTTTATAACATGGCATATACACAATGTTTCCAAGTCTTTGTTTAAAACTTTATGTCAAGAGTGTTTTAAAAAGTTCAGTCAGAGAAAGTGACTTATAAGATTTATTGTAAGGTTATAGCACCTTTTATCTTTCATTTTTTTCCAGCATTTGGTTCAGCTCACCGGTGAAATTTATTGTGTTAAATGTTTTGAATTAAGGAATATTGATTACAATACAATGGAGCGATAATAATCCAGCCACCTTCATTCCCAGCTACAATGTAAAGTGGCTGGATTGAGGGACAGTTAGTTAGATTACTCGGGGACATTTTGTACACAGTGCAGTCTGTCCTTTACAACACTCAATGGATAGTTGGGCAGTTAGATTAGTCGTGACTAGATTAACTAAGTTTGAATGTATGTAAACATGTAAAAATGAACCATTTTAACAGTTGTATTACATCATAATACAGAATACCTAGAAAAATATTTATTCTAACAAACGTTTAGTTTTGTTATGTCGGCTTTTGGATATTTTTATTGTTGATGAAACGATGATTCACAATTTGTTTCAGGCATTAAGTGACATGGCAGCACAGCACCAGAACAGTCGATCTTACTTCTTTGACAATCCTAGACGCTATGATAGCGATGACGATCTCACACGGAGTGCTCACTCCAGGGCCAGGTACGTTATCAGTTCCACTTCATCTGTATACCACACTGTCACACCTATATTATGTCACATTTATTGTTTCACCGGTATACCACACTGTCACACCTATATTATGTCACCTTTATTGTTTCACC